TCATTTGACCCTGTTTTTGCAGAAAGAAGAGTGGGATTCCACTAAATGTGCTAATTTCTGTCTGAAACAAAGAGGCTATTTAGGGTAGAAATGTCTTTCAAGCTTTGCAGGCAGGCACACTATCCTGTAAGTATAATGCAACACTGCTTTTATTTATAAAATTGAAAAGATTCATGGAAAATGAAACCTGAATTTACACAATAATGGCAGGAAATTGTCTCTCCCCTCTTCTAGGTGGGCCTACCTTGTAATATACAGACAAAAAAGTACTAAGGAGAAAAAAGCAGCATGACTTAAGCAGAAAAGCAATCTACAGAAACACAAAACAATAAGAAAATACCAGTGTAAATATGAATCTTGTGTTCTTTAACTGATATTTTATATAATATTATTTTGCAGGGCTCGCGCCAACAACTAAAAGCCTGTGCAAGATTTTCTTTCAGCAGCTCCTTGCTTTGTCACTCTCTCTTTTTCTCTTCTTAGCTTCCTCCGTCAACATCAAAGCATCAAAGTTACAAAATGCATATGAGGCGCATAGTGGGAATGACAGAGGCACTGTGCACCCTATTACAAGTCAGTGTAGCATCAAAATAATTCTGAAGCTGATATTTTGAGGTAGAAAAGTTACATCATGTTGCTTTAAAGCCAACGCTGGCTAAAACAACCAAAGCCACTGACAGATTTTTATTGTGCCTACTGGGAATCCTTAAATTTAACTCTACAGAATAATAATGAGGACTGTATGAATTCTTATCATTAAATGTGTTACTATTTAACTCTTTTAACTTTAACTCTCTTTAACAATGACTTTCTAAAGTCAAACTGCATCCAAACTACACCACAGCAAAAGCCTTCCCCGATTTGATTTCCATGTTAAATATTACTATTATATTATTACTTCTCCTCCAAAAGCAATACATTTGTATCACTGTGTATAACTGCATGTAGTTTAAAACACTGACTGGCCAATGCCCATCCTATTCTTTTCATCCTCACTCTCTGTACACAGACTACAAACCTAACCCTTTACAAGCAATCACTTGGCAGGACAGACAACATTCTGATGTGGATTTAGGGTGCAGCTAGAAGCATCCAGATGACATTGAACTCCACCCTCCATCAGTAAACTCTATGTACCAAAGTGTTTCCTTCATTTAGCTAGTTACCTGTACTTTTAGTGCACATTGTCTGTATGCACTGTCTGAGCTCAGAAATGGCAATTTATTGACAATTCCTGCATCAGTTTCAAAACTGACATAAGTAAAAATGTTTAATTGTATGCGAACAAGCTTTCTAATGCAAGTCACAACAGGCAGAATACACAGTTAAAACCTCGTCCATTTTCTTCAGTAAGATCTTTTACGCCCTGAGGATTAGCTGTGATCATACAATCCCAAAAGACTTGTTAAGTCAGCTGCCATGCCAAGCTGGCTGAGGTCCAGATGTAGGTTACAAGTCTTACACAAATTATGGATTTGAATGCATAATTTTGATGAAAAACCAAAGATATTTTTAACTGGTTCAAACCTGATTGATAGTGTATAAGAAAGGGAACAACTGCTTCTCAGCTAATCTAATGTCTTCTCTGAAACTCACATGTGGGAAAATACCTGACACGAGGCACATGACAGCACCCCCTGACCCTTCAAATCCCCTCGCACAATTTCACGTGCGTGTATTGCCCTCCCTTCTGAGTTTCCACCCCACCTGTAGCTGTATGTATACCCTGCTGCTTGGCTGACGCACACAAACCTCGACCTATTGGACAGCCTCTGCATTCACCGCATTGCACTGCTGTCAGACTTTCACACACACTGTGTTTGGTAACAAATGCACGCAGTCATGAGGCTTCACTCACAGACACACTGCACACACACACAAATACACACACAGTAAATATATCCACTTGTACGCAGTAGAGTCGTCACAGGTGCCAATGTGATGTCTATCAACAAGTGTGACTTTAACAACAGCGGTGTCACCTCATAAGTTGAGGTAGCACAAAGTAAACACACACAAACTCACAAACTCATGCAAACCGAGTTAGGCTTTGTTGTGCCCATGCCTGGATCAAGCTTTTCCAGTGTAACTGTGTCCCTGATTTTTCCAACACCAAAGACAAGAACCAAGACATTATTTCAGCAATTTAAATAGGGTCACAGCAGCTCCTCTGGTGCAACCAATTCTGGTGCATTTTCAGTGGCCAAACTAAAAGAAATGGGACAAGTAAGGTGATCCATGGGAAAGTACCTTGGTGGATTAGGGTCAGGTCTCTCAGGATGCAGGATGCAGTGTACAGTCTTTATCTTCTCGCAAGAAAATGCACAGGAGTTAGGTTTCTAATCAGTTAAGACAAGTCCCCCTTGGTTTAGATGAAATTTGGGAAGAACAGTGCTTTCATTAGCCATTAGTACACTGTGTTTATTTCCTTACAAGCAATACAGTGTTTGTCCCTGGCTAAGAAGCTCAAACAAATGCTATGGTAATAACTGCGTGAAAAAGGGGTTGCAATCACAGGATGAGGCTAAATGATCAAATATAGCATATTGCACAAGTAGAGAAGAGTCGTACAGTCAGTGACCTAACTCAGTAACGTCTGAACAGCAGAATTGATCTAAAGTTAGCTAAAAGAGCTAAGATAGATAAGATAATTCCTTTATTTA